TTGCCTGCCAACGCTTTCTGATCTGGGAGCTTGATCCCCAGTGTGATAGTGCTGGGTGACAGAACCTTTAAGAAGTGTAAACTAGGAGAAGGTGATTTAGTCCTAGGGCTCTATGCTTATGCATGGGCTAATGCTGCCTCTTGAGAATGGGTCAGGTTTCATAGGGCTAGACTAGTTCTCTAGAGGATGGTTGTTTGTGGTGAGTCTGGCACACACATAAACAACTGTTTTGTGTGCACTGTTCATCATTTCCACATGTCCTCCTCTACCCAGATTCTGTCTTTCCAAGGGCTTGTCTGGAGCCAAGTCTTTGCAGAAGTCTTTTCTTAAGCCTCTGAAATGCCAGCTCTAGATTTGGGGCTCACCCAGGTATGTCTTGCAGAATGACATTTACAATTTAAAAGCCAATCCTTTAATACTTAACTTCTTTAAATATGTATTCAATTAAATTCATAACATTAGAGTAAGAATTAATGTAACATGTTAATTTTTAAGTGTAAATGCATTACACTGTTTGCTGTTTGGAAACCCAGAGAAGGATGAGTACTATTCTGAGAAGGCATCTAACAGTCTGAGAGTCACAATACTTTATATTGTGAAGTACACAAAGAATACCATCAGGGAAATTAAGATAACTTTCTTCTAGCTCCTATAGAAATGAGGTTGGTGTATTTTTCTTTCCAAGAAACAAAGTACTTTACATGACAGTAGATACAATATTCTTTCTTCTTCCCAAGCGTGAGTCATTACAACACCAAGTGCCTTAGCCTTGAGTTAGAATGGCAGCTGGAAGCAAAAGAAGGTTGGTTTAATGCATCGTTGATCTAATACATGACAAGACCATGACATTTTTATGCACACGACACAAGTCTACATAATTGCTGATATAAACCTTTTAAAACTGTAAGATATAGAAAAATGAAGGAATAGCTGAGCCAAAGGAAACTGTATGAAAAGGTACACAGCAAGGAAGAATAAATGTCTTATGGGAAGAGTAAAAGAGGCTCTATAGATGCAATGAAGGGTGAGTCAAGAGCATACACACCATGCTTTTGAAAACATCTGAAACTGAATTAAGGGTATGCATTTCACTGGGAAAGTCTGATCATCAATTAGCATGACAAATTTTAAACCTTGTAAGGTGAGTTTTAAGTATTATTGGAGTGCTGACAATTTCATTGAGCTCTGATAGATTGATGCATTTTGTACATAATTGGCTCTCTGTGGATGAAATTTTTGCTATGGTTCCTGTGGTATAGAGGGCCAGAGCATAATGACTCCAAGTAGTGCAAGACAGTTTGTAGGAAAGGGTAAATGCTGTGAGTATCAACTTTTATTTCATATATTCAAGATATATGTTTAATGTAATGATGTCTATGGGTTAGCACCTACACTTTGCATCATGCAAGGAAGGCACTCGCTGTTTATGGCCAACAAGATGACTTTGCTGAGAGATGTTAAATTTACTGAACAAGGAAAGACACTAAATTTGATGAGTGCTCATTCTAGTATCCTAAGTTGTTTGTTGGCATTCCTTCTATGCTCTGCCCAACAGTTACCTAGTAACAGCCAGGTAGGCCTAACTTGCAACAAAAATAAAAAAACAAACACCAAAAAAAACCCAAAAAACAGTTTTGTCTCTCTTTCTCTCTCCCTCTCCCTCTCCCTCTCCCTCTCCCTCTCCCTCTCCCTCTCCGTCTCTCTCTGTCTCTCTCTCTCTGTGTGTGTCTCTCTCTGTCTCTGTGTCTCTCTCTCTCTGTTTTTCTCTGTCTCCTTTCTTCCTCTGCCTCTACTCTCTTCTCAACTCCTCTTTCCATGCCCCTAAATAAACTCTGATATGAATAAACTCTAATAAACTCAAATATTAGACCAATCATATGGCTGGTACCTCTGTGGGGGGGGGGATGGGCCCACTGAGGCACACCCCCCACATATCATACTGTGCTCTACAAAACATATGCCTGACTCTAGAAAACATAACCTTGTTTTTATAAAAACACATCAAGGTTAACTGCCTTATGTATTGTCACATAAGTATCAAAAGAACCTTGTAGTTGGCAATGTTACCTCCATTTCCCATAGGAGGTACCTTGGACCAAACAAAAATATAGACAAGCAGCCACCTAAATCCTTCTGAAAAATCACAATCAAACAAAAAAATAACACAAAACAAAAGTCTATCTGTTACATTCTATAAATAAACATCATCATTAAGTTATTAGAAACAAGTCTTGATGATACATGTTTGATCCTAGGAAAACAAATAATGAAGTTCAATCATTTTCCTATATTTAATATTCCTTAATTTAATATACTATATCTATTATATATACTATATATAATGTATCATATAATATACTATATCTGTATATTTAATATACTATATTTATGCTATTAAAGTAACAATTTATGTTTGAAAGAAACCGATTTGATTTTATGGACCTTGATGATCAGCTCTTACTGAGTGGATCTGGGAGGATTTCATCCTGGGACTCATGCTCCCACTTTCCAGTAAAGTGATCAGCCTGACATATGCCAGCTAGGGTAGACATTCAGGCAGCTCTCCTCCAGCCTTGCCAAAAACAGTGGCCAAATATAAGACCAGATCCAAATTCCTCAGCTGTCACTAGCAGCAAACTCAGGAATCAAGCCTGTCATTTTCTATAGCATACCCTTAGCCAAACTTCAACTGACACTGAAGAGGGGGAAAGCCAAAGTCAGGCTGTCCACCACAGTCAGATAGCCTTATGAAAATTTTAATTTTTGCATTTCTCTCCTAGAACTTACTCTATAAAAATTCTATAAAGTAAATGTTAGTAAAAACTTATGTTCCAAAATAAAATATTTGAGCTGAATTATAAAACTACTTCAAATTCTAATTAATGCTTTTCTCTTTTAGCAATGTAATACAAATCTAAATGTTATCACTTTTAATATTTTACATTCAGTTTAATAATATGATCTAATTGACTTGCCAAGGGCACTCCTTTGCCTACCTTTTTCCTTTCTTCCCCCGATCTCTTTTCTGTTTGCATATATTCATTTGGGGAAAAAAATCCAGAAAATTTCCTACTGCACCAACTTTCCAATGATGCAGCTGGGAGAATGGGAGGAGATAATTAGTAGTAGCTCTTTTATTTTTCTCCTGCATGTGTTCTCTTAACCGTTCTTATTCAAGTCAACTCCAAAAGCCTAAAAGTCTTGTTCCCAATTTAGAAGTGTCTTTTTCTTTGTAGATAGGCAATTTTGAGATTTATAGTTAAGTAAACTACTCAGTACCATGAAGATGATAATTTGCTGGTAGGGTTTTTTTTTTGAAAAATTTATTTGCAGATGAGTTCAGATGAAGTTTCTTTCTTCCTTCCTTCCTTCCTTCCTTCCTTCCTTCCTTCCTTCCTTCCTTCCTTTCTTTCTTTCTTTCTTTCTTTCTTTCTTTCTTTCTTTCTTTCTTTCTTTTCCTTCCTTCCTTCCTTCCTTCCTTCCTTCCTTCCTTCCTTCCTTCCTTCTTTCTTTCTTTCTTTGAGACAGGGCCTTATTATGTAGCCTTGGCTGCTCTTGAACTCACTATGTAGACCAAGCTGGCTAGGAACTCACAGAGACATGTTTGTCTTGTTCACTCCTGATCCTGGGACTAAAGACATGAGCCACCGCTCCTGGTTTTTATTTACACAGTTATTCTAAATTACATTAAATTATCATTTTCACTATTTTTATCCAAAGTACTGTTTTCAAACTTGTATTCACAATTGTTGCAAATTCTACCTAGTGTCTTTTTTTAATATGCTCCACTATGTACATTGTTAAGGTGCAAATAAAGCATTTAAAGAGATACTCTGGGCATAAACAGCAGTAGCATTATGAATTACTAGATTGCATTTATAATTCATTGCTTTTTTGTTACTCAGTATCAAATAAATCCTGGTAACTATAAGACTTAGCTATCAGTCCCCTGACCATCCAGGTCAGAGAAAAGTTCACGTCACACTTGAGAGCCTGGGATGAGACTATGGCTCACTCACACTAACAATCATGTAGCTGCAACTTTAAAGCACCTCTATTAATCTCACACACAGCAGCAGCCATCACGGGGAACTCGAAGCTCGGGCATGCATGGCACCTTAACTTAGAGCTAAGGGTACTTGTTTCTCTGTGTTTGGTTGGATCTTCCAGACTGAGAGTTCCTGATTCCACAGTGCTACTGTGTGGATCAAGTGATCCATGGTCACAAAAATACCCTAGAGACTGACTCCCCTGGCGTCCAGGTTCTGAGTGTGGTCAGTCATTCCACATACCTAGCCGATGAGCTGTCTTTGCCATGATCAGAGATTTCCTTCTCAGGTTTTGTTACCGGCAGGGAAAAGTAAAATGGAAAAGTCATTTTTAGAAAAGTAAAAGTTAGAAGAAAATGTTTGCAGAAATCTTGTTCAAGACATTTCCAAGATGTGGTGTACCTTTCTAGTCTCAAGATATTCTTGCCTAAACGAGATTTTTTTTTCATGATAGATGCATAGAATTGCAAACATCTATTATAGGCTTCTTTCATGTGAGCCATAACCAGATACTTCTAATTATACCTTTGTCATGCACAAGTGGGATATGCCAGTTTTAGTCTCCGTTTATGTGGTTTATTGTATTACAAAACACATTAGGATTGAGAGAAAAGACATGAGTCTCCCGCCCCCCCCCCCCAACCGCTTTCATAGACCGTTTGTTTCCTCCCCCCACCCCTTGTCTCTAAATATATCTTCGAGAGTGAAATTTTTATGTAGCATAACTCATTTTGACGGTACCCTTTCAAAGCTTCGGGTATCCTTAGTGTCCTGAGATGAACAGAGCATAGCTCCCAGTGTGGCTCTGTTCCAGACTGCTGCTGAGTGAGGCTGGGGTGCAAAGTCCCTTCCTAGCCCAGGATGCAGTGCTGTTCTCAGAGTCCTACTAGACAAACTAAGCCAGGCTGGATGTGAAGCCTAGGCAGTCTACCTCAGAGCCTTATCCCTTTAAGGATATTGGGACTGGAAAGCATTCAGTCCCAGACTCCTCCTCATTTCTATTCCCAGGATTTTACACATTTTCCGCAGGGGAATCACGCACTAGTCAGAAGATCAGAGGAGCTCTTTCCATCCTAACGGTATCCTGTGGGGAAAGGAACCCCAGCGTCCAGAGACCATAATAGGTCCTCCATTCTGAGGTAAACGTCTTCTGAGAGGCTGTAAGAGCCGCGGGTGCAACTTTTAGTTGCTAAAAAACACACAGGACAGCAGCCTGAGCGAGCTGCTCCTCCAGACCCCCAAGTGCATAAAAACTGGAGGGAACCAGGACTACCAAAGGGAGCTCTTAGAAAGCTCAGCTGCTTGGTAGCCTGCAAAGGGAACAGAGGAAGGAGCCAGGGCTCTGGTGAGAGCCAAGGGAGCCTTCCAGTTCTCCTCCATTCCCCCTCTGTGCCTCCCTGCCCCCTCCTGCCACCCTCTCACCCGGACAGCTGTCCAGCTCTTGTAATTCATTGGCTTCCCCAGCCCCGCCTTCCGAGTACCACCCCAACCCAGTTTAGCCCCCTGCCTCACCCGCTGACCTAATAAGGCCATGCACACTGCAGGAGACCTATATAAAAGTGGGGACTCTTGCAGACCTTGCCGGACAACAGGAGCAAGAAAAAGCAGGAGCTGTCCAGCGCTAAGAAACACGAAAGGTGACCATGGCTAAGGAGTGGGGCTACGCCAGCCACAATGGTGAGTGGGGCCAGGACACTATGGAGTGTGCCTGCATTGCACAGGTGTGCAGACAGGAATAGTTAAGAACTGGCATATGCTAAGAGCTTTCTGGTGTCCCATTCTGCTGGTCTTTTTAAAAGGGACTCACTGTTTTCTTTTCCACGGAGGAACCTGAAGCTCAGAGACACACTCACTGTAACTAGCTTAAGGTCCGATGATGCGTTTCAGAAGTCACTCAGCCAGAAGTCAGGTCCAGTTGAATCTTATTTTATGAAACTGATCAATGAGTACTTGGCCTCTCTGAGCTTGGGGTCCTGTAACAATCTTTGGTTTGATCAAGTCAGCTTTGGGAAAAAGAAGAAAAATATCTCTTTCAACCTACAAAGTACTCCAAAAATATGTGATCTGTGATTCATTTCAAATATAAGCTTTTCTGGCTACATGATTCTCAAGCTAGGGGAGGGAATGCAGAGATTGAAATTCCCTTTGAGCATAGGTAAGCAAGGTTCTAAATAGGTTTGAAATCAAAGTGCTGTATTTCTCAATCTGAACTCAAGACCTTTCTGTAATCACGATTTGGCTTCTGTATACTTTGCTGGCATAGTTCACTTGATAGAGGCCTTGGGCTGTACTATTAAATGAATAAATTCTCTTTCATTTATGTCCTAGGTCCCGAGCACTGGCATGAACTTTATCCAATTGCCAAAGGGGACAATCAGTCCCCCATTGAACTGCATACTAAAGACATCAAGCATGATCCTTCTCTGCAGCCCTGGTCAGCATCTTATGATCCTGGCTCTGCTAAGACCATCCTGAACAACGGGAAGACCTGCAGAGTTGTGTTTGATGATACTTACGACAGGTCCAGTAAGTATAGCACTGGGTCATGTGGGTGTTTTCAGTGTCTAATGGCAAGATGTCATTTGTGATACAGTAACAGAATTATGGGAAGAGGGAGTTCATCCCTGAAATGGAGATGACTTTAGACTTGGCTCTAGTTGAGAAGAACTATATTCACACAATGAAGAGGAATGTCACACCCACTTGTTGCTGCAAAATGGCCATATGCCCAAGCTAAAAGTTAGCAAAACACCCCGGAGACAGAGTATGGATCAGGAGAGGAAGGCAGGGAGCCCATGTGGACTTTCTGACCACTGAGAGACAACATTCTTATGGTTCCTGATGGTATGAAGAACAAGCTCTCCCACTCTGCAAGAAATAAAATGGCCCTCTCTTCTCTGGTGGCTGGTAGGAGGTTTAAGGCAGAACCACTGTGTGAGTTAAAGTGGCCTGGTCTCAGTAAGTATCTCACTGGTGTAAACCCAAAGAGTCTTTGTAGTGAGTGTTTCTGATGTATATCACCACTTTTTCTTGGGTCAATGTTAGTGTGGAATTGAAAAATTCATGGAAGTGTTTTTTTTAACCTACATTAGTAACCAATCTGTGAAATAAAATAAGACTAATTTGAAATACTTGAATATTTTAATACTAATTTGAAATAATTTGAAATTTCAGAAAGGCTCAGCGGCTCACACCTATAATCCCAATACTAAAGAGGCAGAGACATGAGGATTGCCACAAATATGAGGCAAACCTGGTGCTCCAAGGGAGTTCCAGGCCAGCTTGGCCCATAGACTGAAACTGTCTCTAAAAAATGCAAGCTTTATTTCAGGAAACAAGTCTAAGTGAGAATTAGTCTTCACAATTAAAAATGCAATTTCCTAGAACCACATTCCTCATTAAGCTAAAATATCCTTTGTGGATAAAGATAAATAATCATTCTGGTAATGTCATAAGAAATAATGATAGTAAAAAAAAAAGAAAAGAAAAAAGAAATAATGATAGTGACAGACAACTCCTACCTTCCAGGGTAGGAAGAGGGCTTGCTATTTCTTGAGCAATTGCTACACATTACTCTTTGCCAGTTTTTCTTTGACTTAAAAGCTGAAGTGTCATTTAGAAGAAAAAAAACAAACAATAACAAGAAAAAAAAATTAAAGTATCACTCACCAAGCAGAAACACAAGAGATAGCATTTTTAAAAGAAAAATAGTTGAATGCTAGAGATTTAATAATTAGAAAATAAATAGATCAATAATAAATAACAATAAACTCAACTAATAATTACTAATAAATTAAAAATAATTAGTAAGTAAATTAGAGTCCTACCCAAATCCTAACTATTCCCAGTAATTGGACAGGAAACTACAAAAATTCAAACTATTTCCTTCCTATATGACCGAGCTGGTTCAAGCCTAAAATTATTGCTTAAATCTGTACTGTGGGATTTCCTGTGTCACTGAGAGAAATCAAACCTTTCTAAAATAGCTGCCATTAAAGTGCTATTTGCATTGAATGTACCTTGCTATATCTTAATTTTAGGGTTTCTGTACCATTTTTTATCATCCTTGGGAAGATATCTGAACCTTTAAATTACTCTTTAGGCAGAAGGAATTGAGACCAAATTACATGGGAGATTAAGATAAGTGCTTTAGAAACCCAAACTAATGCCCAAAGATGACCATACATAGCCGTCCACCTTTACTAGCTTCCTGGGACATTTCTGAACTTTTGTCCTATCTGATTTGAGTAGACACAGTCTAAAGCAGATGTGCATGAGAGTTCTCATTTGTCATCTAAGGAAAAACACAACGAAAAGTGGGACTTGAAACAGAAATTCCTGCCTGCTCCATGACCCCTGACAGGGGCACAGTGAGATGAGCTTGAATCTCCGTTACTCCTCACAGCGGCTCACAGACTGTGGAATTATTATCACCTTCTCAGAGATTCAAAGACCAGTTCAGAGAAGTTGAGCATCTTGCCTGAGATCACACAACTATGAGAGTGTGACCTCATAATGGTACCTAAATCCTGTCAAGTGTGTGGCTCTTCCCAACAGTACTACACTGCTAACCTGTTCTCAGGGCCGTTATAGTACCTATGCTGCTTTATTATTTTTTTAAAGTGTTAAAATGACAAGAAAGCAAACAAAAATAAGAGAGAAAATTTTTACTTTGATATATTGTGGCTTCAAGTTACAAACACTGTGGGGATGGTTCCATGTTCTCAGATGGAGACATCTTTTACCTGAAGAGTCTTCTGTAGAGTGCTTGCTTCAGACAGGGCTCTGCAGTGGCAGACTGAACTCACCAGTCACCTTGTTATCTTACTCACAGTGCTGAGGGGTGGTCCTCTCTCTGGACCCTACCGACTTCGCCAATTCCATCTTCACTGGGGCTCCTCTGATGATCATGGCTCTGAGCACACAGTGGATGGAGTGAAGTATGCTGCTGAGGTAAGAGGAACTGCCCAATTCACTCTGGGTCTCTAATAGTTAAAATGAGAAAATTAGAAACAACTACACAACTCTTTCTGCTTCAAGCCTCTCACTGAAGATATTTTAGCTTTAACATCAAATGAAGCCATCAAATATCCTAAGACAGAGAAAAGTCAACAAGGGGGTTAGCATCCTCTGTGAATATTCTTCAGATTACACTGAGAAATGGGTCATAAACTTGCCTAGAACCAGAACAATAAAGAAGCAAATTCATGTGAAGCACCTATATGCATTAGCTCATTTGATTCCCACTACAACCTTATGTACTATGTTACAGACAGACAACTGACCCACATCAGAGTTATATAACAGAGGCAGAATGGTTGTGCCTGGTGTTCTTTGTATACGCTAGCTTCAGGTACCACTTTTGTGACTATATATAGTGCTTCAAAACAGCATTGAGTAATTACAAACAGTTCTTACTCTCTGTTTGCTTAAGGAAGTATGCTTATAGTGTATGAATCTCATTTAAGGCAATAATTTGCAAATGGAATAAGACAGGTCTCCTCTGTTTTCACTAGGAAGCCAAGTCTGTTTAGCATTGAGGAGAAGTGAACATATTTCTTTTTTTCTGCAAAAATGTTATATTCTTTTCCAAGGCAGATAATAATGAGCACTGGGATGAGACAGAAAATGTGGCTGTGGCAGCACACTGTATCTGATCCGTAGGGGCATCACTGGCTACCTAACTGTTGGTTAAGTAAACTCAAACTCCAAGTGCTGACCAGGGCTGGCCATGTTGGCTTCCAAATCAGAAGAGATCAGGCACATTTAGGGGGCTATAGCTGTTACTCTACAGCCAATCTAGAGAGCTAGGATAGAGAGAAATTATTAGGAATGTCTTTACTTATCCTCCACCACTTGGGAAAGTTCAGGTTATTTTTTCCAAATGTAGAAAAGGCTTTGAGTGCAATATTGGGGTCTAGAATTATCAAACATTTTTTGAACTTGACTATAACATTTTAGCAGCTATGAGCTATTCTCTTGCTATTGTAAGTTGCTCAATATGAACAACATGATTGTTTAAGCTGTGCTCACATCCTAAATTAAGATAAGCCAGACACTGGAGCTCTATCTAATTGGAGACAGGGGCTTCCATACATTTTTTATCTGAACTATTGAAATGTCATCTAAGTATTGCTTATTAATATTTAGAATTTCTTCAACTTCCATGAAGGTGTTCAGCAGCAACCTTGAGACTGCACACTTTTGGGTCTCTTGTGCCCATGTCCATGTTGAAGGATGTATCTAACAGCCTGTGTTTGGTGGTTGCAGCTTCACCTGGTTCACTGGAATCCAAAGTATAACACCTTCGGAGAGGCTCTGAAGCAGCCTGATGGAGTTGCTGTGATTGGTATTTTTCTGAAGGTGAAGTAGACAGGATACTAATTTTTTTGTCATTCAGAATGCAGTCCCTTAATAATGTTTAGGAGACCATGTGTTTCATTCTTCGCTTGTATTTGAGGCATGTATGAGGGCAGAGCAAAGCTTCCAAAGGCAAGAGCAAAGGCTGACCTGTGTTCATTTTCCTTCTCCACTTCTCTATTTCCATCACATTGGAAACCAGAAAGCCAGTGCTGGGAACTTGTGTGATGCCAAGTGCCTGGCTAGACCTCTCCTTGGTTTAAGGAGGCCACCATCCACAGGGTCTCAGGCAAGGGCGGCAGAAGGAATGTGTGTGTTGTTCAGCCAACCTCGGTTTAAAGTGGACTTGGTGTCATTAACACATGAACTTCATGGTAACCCAATCTGAATTTCAAGCCAGCAGTGAAAATCCTTTTCTTTTTTCATTCCAAATGACCTAGTTTGTTCTAGGTTCTGAATTCTCTGACTGTGAGAGGAAAGACAGTGAGTTTGGCTGTGGATACGAAGTCCATCCTGGCTTTTACTCTTTTAAAGAATGGGATGACTTTGCAGAGAGTCAAGGACTAACATGTAATTTTGTGGTTTTACACTTCAGAGAACTGAAATCCAAATTTAGATCAGAAAATATATACTCTACAATCTTTCAGAATGAATAAACTTATATTTGTCTTAGTCTGAGAATATGGAAGACATAAATACTGATTACATGTGGATGGGTCAAATCAGTTATTAAGATGATCTTCAATTATGGTGGAGGGGAAAATATCTCATTGGATGTCATTTTCTTACAGATAGGACGGGAGAAAGGCGAGTTCCAGATTTTCCTTGATGCCCTGGACAAAATAAAGACTAAGGTAAGGGCGAATCATTTTCCCTCTGCAAACCTAAGACAATATGAATTGTCATTTTGATTTTCAGATAGAGCCTGTCACTGTCTGAGGATACCCTATGTTTGCTTACAAAAGTAAATGTTGTGGCATTTTTTAGTGCTGAGACCTTAGAGCACTGTCGTAGCTGTTATTTCAGTTGTCAGTCAGCTTGTTAGCTAAGGACTTTCTCTAGGAAGAAAGTGAGAGGTTCCGGGGTCTCCTTTCCCCTTTCCTACTACGCTGGGCACAGGATCTCTGAGGTTCTCCAGGCCAGCCACGTTCACTGTTTCAATCCTGGTATCATCCTTTCCTGGTAGTCCCACATATTTTAAATATTAACAATAAACTCTTGTAACTAATAGACACATTTTAGTTGTCTTTTAGATTATTCTAAGGGGCTGTTTTTAGGTATAATATTAGATGTAAGTATTCTAAGCATGGAATGTGTTAGAGTCAAAGTCTTCACATCAAACTTCCAAGAAGTAATTCTATTCCAGTCTGAGTCTCCTCTGGGAGAAAGGGCAGACTCTCAGCCTCACCCTCCGTGTAAACAAGGAATAAAATATTGCATTGACTATGACAGGTAAAGTTGGAACACCAAGCAGATGCCTTTCCTTCTGTGGTTTACTAGCCAAGGGTTTGAACCTGTTCAAATATCTGCTTTCGCTTTCGCTATTGAAATCAGTTCTCACGAATGAATAGCTGACGCCTCTAGGGGGCGCTTGGTGTAAGTGCCCGCTTAAAGAGCCTGCTTGGTGTCTTCCAGGGCAAGGAGGCTCCTTTTACGCACTTCGACCCATCGTGCCTGTTCCCTGCTTGCCGGGACTATTGGACCTACCATGGCTCCTTCACCACGCCACCCTGCGAGGAGTGCATTGTGTGGCTGCTGCTGAAGGAGCCCATGACTGTGAGCTCAGACCAGGTGAGCCCATCTGCAGAGCACTGCATGTGAACTGTGGACTACAGATGATGTGGTCCTTAGTTGTCTCACAGTTTGGCCTGTAGAAATACCCTCAGCTTGTTCAGTTCAGTTCAAGGAAGCTTCCCAAGGGTAGTCAGACAACGCAATCCCATAAGAGCCAGTGGGATCCTGAACACATATTCATCAGTACGGGAGTGAAGGCTAGCCAGGAGACTGAGTAGCAAATTTAGGCATGAAAAGGAGAAAGGTGCAGAAATGATTTAGCAAGACACCCTTTGAGAGATGTTGCTATTTCTCTAGTTTTGTGCCAAAAAAGAAAGTGAGGCTCAAAAACAAAACTATTTCTTCACAAGGGCAACCAAGTGCAAAATCTTATCCCAGGCCGAACCTGTCTACTCCAAGAACCCTGAACTTCTCTTTTCACCCCTACCTTACTTCCGTTTATATAAAGAATGTGCTCACAATATTTACAAGACATGACTTCAAGGAAAGCTAACTGGGTGTGGCCATGGAGAACACAGTTAAAGAAGTGAACCCCACAGAGCTCACAGCTTGGAACAGAATGTCTCACAGTAAAATCAGCTTATGAGCCTGACTCCTTGGCTTAAGAAAGCAAATTGTATGTTTCTTTCAGGATGGACCCAAGAATAAAGCCACACTTAAAAAAAGAAATCAAGATTCAGCTTTAACAATCTTGTTAATTAGTATAAAGATTTTAAAAGTAGAATGAAAATTTTTAAAGGGGGAAAGCTAAAAGAAAATTTAATACTGAAGCATAATACATTTTAACATTAACAATATACCTACGATGTTCGGAGGACAAGTTACAGCCCTTTAGCTTGTGGGTTCTGGGCCTCGAACACAGATTGTCAGACTTGGCCATAAGCACCTTTGCACACTGAACCATCTCAACTACCAAGGCATAATACTTTTATGAGATTTCCCTATGTTCTGATCCTTTATGGAAAATAAAATAGCTCACAGTTTTATATATAGCCCAATTTTAATTTCTTTCTAATCCTTTAAAATTTAATTCCATAAATACTTGACTTGATTATAAAGTGGGAGCCTACTGAAGTTTTTCTTCCTTGCAGTTCTATGGTAAATCCTCATCCCCTTCTATGTAAAGTGTATATATATTTCATGCTGAACCCTTAATTTAAAACCGAAGAGAAATTCGGGTGGGGAAGGCGTTATTCAGGGAGCAGGGGATTCTGGATGTAAGAAAATGTCTATGCTATGAACTGGTGCTTGCAAACTCAAGACCTATCCCTGGAGCCTGGTTTGTGGTTTGCGGGGCCGGGTTAGAAAGCCTGTGGTTTCTAACTGTTTGCTTCCCCTTGCAGATGGCCAAGCTGCGCAGCCTATTTGCCAGTGCAGAGAATGAGCCCCCGGTGCCTCTGGTGGGGAATTGGCGCCCTCCTCAGCCGGTCAAGGGCAGAGTAGTGAAGGCTTCCTTCAAGTAAGGCTCTGAGCTTGCCCTCTTCAAGAAAGCAATTCTGCCACTGAAGAACCTGTTTGACTCCTCCTGGTGCTCCCTGCTCTAAGCTATTCTACAGTACCCAGAGGAAGAAGAGAAGCAATCACATGAAACTGCAGTACCTTTTGACACGATCTAACCCAAAAGCATGAATTTCATACCTAACCTTTCTAATAACCACCTTTTCTAAAAAAACCTTAGTATTTCTAGTATTAATTCAGTGAAGAAGAAATATATGAAATAGTGGTTTATTGAGAACACTAAATTTCTCAGAATCACAGCACTCAAAATTTTCAGGCTGAGTTACTGATACTACAGAAATGATGGGTCTGTTCTATGTATGTGGGCACGGAGGAGTATGCCAATCTTACCACATTTAAGTGAAAGTACAAATTAAGATCATTGTAGATTTCAAACACTGATTTCATAATGTGTTTTATCTCAAATAATACCAGCTATACTCCATCACTTGTTAAAAATTTTGCCTACTACCAAATTGCTTTAATTACCTATAAAACACACGCATAAGGTCAGGTGTTTTAAAATGTTTGATCCAACATTTAAATTTCTTCTTCATAAAGATGATTTTCTTTACCCAAAGTAGGGCCATTTATTTTTTATTTCATGACTTTAATCTTTGCATGCCTATTAAAAACAAAACAAGATCAAAAAACAAAAAAACAAAAAAACAAAAAAAACAAAAAAACCCTGTCTGGTGATTTTAAGTTGGAGGCTGAATGACTGTTTCCTGGAACAGGAAGGAGGGAATGTCAACACTGAAGCAGGGAGTTTGTAACGATTACAGAAACAATAAAGACAAGATGCAAATGAAAAGAGTGGATTTCTTCATAAATTGAAAATGTAGAGTAAGTCATTTGTTTTAAGGCAACATATGAAGTGACAGATTTCACTGTGGCATTTTCATGCGTGTTAGTTATAATTCTTCCCTCTTTCATTGCCCTCTCCCTGTGACAGCTGTCCCCCAACAGTCCCCTCCTCTGCTTTAATGTCACAGGAATTTCATTGTCCTTCTCCTTTAAGATGTATCTTCCTCCCCTTTGTGATCCCTTTTCTAGTTTTTCGACCCCCTCTATGTCTACACACAGACAATTTTAATCCTAAATGTTATATATGAAAGAAGATATTCAGTATTTGTCTTTCTGCGTCTGGCTTATTTTCTGTAATAGGATTGTGTTGCATGTGTACAATTAATGGAAAAGCAGTATAAATGAGAAAATGAAAGCCAGAGAGAAAACTTCCCGAGTTTGTTTGTTCGTTTTCATTTTTGTTTTTGTTGTTTGTTTGTTTTTTCTTTGTACCTGAAGTGACAATAAAAGACTCAAGTTGTGAGTTTAGATGCCACCATCCTCAGGAAAGAGACAAGGCAATCGGTAAGGGGCCTGATTAAACTGCCAACCTGGGCAATGGGTCCATCTCATCATGTGAATGCTCCCAAAGAGTCAAGTCAAAGTTGACTAGGGCTCTGGGATTCTGGCCAGTGCAGCAAGCTAGTGCTTTTTTTAGGCATAACAGTACCTTTCATATATTTTTTAATGTGCTTCAAGATGACATATCTCAACAGTACAGAAATGCATATATTTGACTTTTAATACATTTAATATTTCTAAACACAAAGTCCAGTTGAAGAGTCAAAGTTGGTTATCTTTCAGTTCTTCAGTGGCTGATATGTTAGTGACTGGAGAAAAGGGCAGCAATAAGCAATGAGAACAGTCCTGGGTCAGGAAAGCCCTGAGACGCTGGAAGTCAAACCATGTGATAAACTCCTGTGAGGCTGAAGTTATTTAATAGATTACCACTTGGGTGAAGCAAAACCAGGTTGGTCAGTGTGAACAGGATGTGTTAATTAAATCCCTTGAAATTAGGAGATGTGGAGCTCTGATCATTAGTGGTAATACACAAGCTGCTTGTCTCAGGGCATTTAGTTTGTAATGTTCAGAGCTCTGTAAAGACTGCATCCATTATTTACGCCATGTGTGGGAGGCAAGTGGTCTCACACTGATTAGGAATGGTTACTGTTCTCGTACCTGGCTGGACAAGGCTGAAGGAGGCTGTATCCCTGGACCTTAAGCTCCAAGGGGCATAGACTCTATTTCCACCACTGACATCCCACCATTGATGCCTAATACTGTGTCCATCAGAATTTAACAACTTGCCAAGTTTTAGGTGAACAGATGATGTCACAAACAGATAGAGGTCTAAAGAAGGCTTAGCCTCTAGATCCTTACAACACTTTGAATATTAATATGAATCTGACTTTTATTTATCTGAATTTATTTTACATCTTCTTGAAAAAATCATTTCATTGACTTTAGGTCAAAACTTCACCATATCCAGTCTGCCCACACTGTCAGTGTTTAACAGTGCACACAACAATCACCCATCTTACCCTGCCCCCCAATTTCTCATTGCCCTTAAAGTTTGCTGCCATAATAAACTCCTTTTGGATTATTGAAGACAGACACATGCTTCTGCATTCAAGGGACCATCATTTTCCAGATTAGGTACAGACTCCAAACAACTGAACTTCAGACTTCTGTAAATTGCAGAGCAGTTTGCCATCAGCTGCCATCAGCAAAAGCTCCAGAACTTGCCAATCTTATTCTACTGGGTATAGTTGCAGGTATTTTATCATTTCAAAGAGGGGAGAACTGATGTACATTAAGTATTTCATAATGTTCAGATGCTTAAAAGCCTACATGGAGGCTGGCAGCAGGCATTGTTAGGCTGGGAGGTACAAATATATTTTACTATATTTTTAAATGATATAATTGGGGACTCTGTTGTAAAATGTTTCATAATTAAAATAAGTGACTCATTTTGTAGACTAATAAGAACTATTCTACATAGACAGCGTATGTGTAGACATCTACAGTTCTCAGCATCTCACTGGGGCCATTTATGTCATTAAACAAATCTCATTGAGATGAACCAGTCATAAATAAGTACATCAAATACAAAAATAACAACTGACACAAGTAACATTGACTTTAAAAATTCAAATAGTCCAATAACACATTAGCTGCAATTACTAAAAATTAGTTCTAGATTTTCTTCAATATAAGAATGAATTCTGGACATGTATAGTATCTTATAAAAATTATAAAATGAGTAAGAAGAAACAAGAACACTGTATGTCAGATTTTAGTTCATATTTAACGTATGTAAACTTAATGATTTTTAATAAATGAATACCTGGGAGTAAGACTTAAATTTTAAGACCTAACCATGTTTACATGTTATTTTCTTTTTGAGCACTAGATGGCAATAAAATCTCTGATACAAAATAACGGCCCTTGAAAGCCACCTTGTGTTTCAATCATGTTGATGTTTAAGTTGCTAAGTTTTTCAAAGTTATTTTGAACTGACACTATGTTTCCTTTGCTTGCACATTTAATATTATCTATGAATAGTGATTGACCAAAAAAGATGAAGGATTTTTATTTTTTCTTAAGAATCTTAGTTTAAAAAAAGGAGGGGTGAGGCTAACTGAAGCGCACTTACTGAACTGAGACTGACAAGCACTGAGCATATAAAGTCCTATTCCATATGAAGAAGAATGGGAAATATCACACAGTGTCTGCTGGACAGGAGAGCATGGGGGATTGTAATCTGTGTGCCTGAGTGGATGGTAACAGTATCTGCAGGGAGGGTTATTTTAAGAATTAAATCAATGCACTTAAAATACAAAGAAGTGTTTTTCTGGCAAATTTCTCTGTAAGCATTAACACCTATCTTTTTAAAATTAACTTTACTTCAAGTTAGAAAAATTCTAATGGCTTATTAAAGTCCCAAAGGTCCTGCATTCATGTAGCTGTTTGCAGTGTCAGAAATCTACATCTCATCTGTTCAGTCCAGAGAAAGAGATATGAGAATTCTCACTTACTTCTGCTTATATTTGGTGAATTTCTTTTAAATTTATGTGTGTATATATACGTGTGTGTGTGTGTGTGTGTGCACTTGTGTGTGTATGCACTTAGGTAGTTAAGTGATGTGTGCATGCATGTACTTTTGGAAGTCAGTTACTTCCTTCTACCATGTGGGTCTTGAAGAATCAAACTTAGGTCTTTAATCTTGGCAGCAGGAGACTTTACCATCTGCTGGCCCAGTGTTGATATTTAAAAGCAATAACCCATGTACTAAATACGCAGCAGAGGGAAGTGTGGTCACGCTGAACCAGCACATTGCCTAAAGAGGAAGGTTAAATAATTTATCCTGAGGAAGTCTCTGCTTTGGGAACTTTGTTCTTACTCTAGGAGATGTATGATTAGTGAGACTGACATCCAGAAAATCAGGGAGAGAGCAGAGGCCAAAGATGATTGTGTCTGTTTGACACTGGCTTTTCAAATATCATGAAACAGGGTCCCTGGGGTGCTTTGTTAAGGGGATAATCCATCTTAATACTGAAAGCAGAAAGACTCCTGCGGTGAAATTAATTTTGAGCGTGCCTAGGCATGTCCTAAAGTGAGAATGCCAAATGTGATGTACAAATCACACTGGAGGAAAGCATTTATGCTTCAGAGGAGTTTCAACTCTAATAGAACAAAGTAAAGTCACGCAGTCTAAGCATAACATCTAGGATCAAGAGGTTGGCTGGTGCTAATGATCTATCTTCTGCAGATGAGAGGATGTTTAACAGGTACAACCTGTAACAGCCCGGTCAGGTGAATAATCACAGGTGATCAGCCAGAGTAAGAGCGAGTCTAACAGCACAGTCCTCAGGGACAGGGTGCGCTGCGGCAGCGCGAGCCCAGTGATCTAAAAGCTAATTTTAGCCAGTTGAGAAGGCACTCTGCAGTAAACAGGGAACCAGGTTCTCCCCTGTATTTGAATCAGTCTCAAGCAGAGGAGCCTGAAACCTCAGGGAAAATATGTTTTTCCATAAACACTTTGTCTGTTCTGACTTGCCTGTAAATTTCTGTCGCATCTGTGAGCTTTTTTGAAATTTGGATGGTTCGAAACACATTTGTTAAAGGGAAGTTACTCCCTAAAGGCCTCTCGATTCTCATGGAAGCATAATACAAATGGAAGTGCTAGAAAGTACAAGGCTCACAGAAATCATACTTCTGCTTCTCTGTGAGCAGCTTAGAGCAGGAGACTTCAGGTCATTAGGGGCATACCTGGTTAGGGCAAGAGCCCTAGGGAAACTGGCAAGGGTGATGTTATTGAACAAGCCAAGCAGAGCCAAGTTAGAGTAGGACCCAGTGATGAGAGAGAAATGCTCCATACAGTTCAGAAAGTATAAAGGGCCTATCGTTCTTTCTGTATATACTAATGGGAATAGCATATGTACTTGAAGTTTTTATGTGAAATGAAGGTTGGTATGTGTTGATATGAGTGTGATGAACAGTGGGGACTGCAAGGTTTTAAGCCAGTACAAACTTGATCTTGAGGCCTGAGGACCTAGTTAGAGTCAGACCTGTCAGAACTCAAAAGTACTTGTCTAACTGATAAGGGATGAATGGATGGTAAAGTGAGACTTGTAAAATACTGTTTGCTAGTCTTTGTCAGTTCTCAGTGAAAATTATTCCCTCATTATCTGAAGATCAGAGATACTTAAACAAGGTTTTAGAATATTGGGGAATCCAAGTTTGTTAATGAAGAAAATACATGGGAAAAAGCAATTTTACATATATCCGAATGTTCACTGCTTATGAACTGAAAACTGAACTCAGTAAAAAAGAGATGTGTTTTAGGAGATATAAAAGAATTCTGTACCAGAGTACTTATCTCCTTTAGCACTTGCACTCCTGTGTGCACACTGAAGAGGGGCTGGCACTGTGCCTGTGGGTTAGGCTCCAGTAGTCCTCACCTGTACCATCATCCTGGTGCTTCTGTCTTCCCAGGCTCATTTTCTTTCTAGAAGTTTCTCTTAATTTCTTCAGTAGTGACATTAGTTCTGCCATTGTTTCCACTTAAGCAATTCCATATACATGATAAAGAATCCTCTTCCTAGATCTAGTCTTTGCCTCATGCTCAAAAATTGGAGAATAGAATGCTTTTGAAGATTCAGTAAGCAGTCCTAACTAATACACTCCACTAAGGCTGTGAGTTCAGGAACTTGGCCCCTCTACATGAAGCACAGACAAAAATACTATCAAATATGTTCATGTACTTATAGCTGCTACTCAATACCTTCTTCTGTGTGTATGATACTGGCCTTCAAACTTGCACTCTACCACAAGCTACTTCCTGCCTCCTCGTTATTGTTATTATTATTATTATTTTATTTTGAGACAGA